AAAAAAAAAAAAAACTGATGTGAGCTTTCCTGTGCTTTGTTATAAAATAGGCTTTGTGTGTGTGTTGATTTTGCCCAACTGCGGGCTAATTAATGTAGATGTTCCCAGCATATTTAAGGTAGGGTAGACTGTATTAGGTGAATCTGAGGACAGGGAGAGTGGCTCAGTGGTAAGTGCCCCTGGGTTCAATCCTCAGTATCACAAAGCAAGCAAGCATAGAAAAATTAAATAACTTGTCCCAAATCACACACGTAGTGTGAGATAGAGTTGAGATTTGAAACTCAGTCTTTTGTCACTATAGCCTTGATTCTTTTTTTTTTTTTTTTTTGGTGCTGGGCATGGATGGATGGTACAGGGCCTCACACATACCAAGCAAGGGTTCTGTCTCTGGGCTACATTCCCAGCCCAGCTGTGGCCGCCTCTTCCTCCTCCTCCTCCTCTTCCTCCTCCTTCTTTTTTGGTACTGGGGATTGAACCCAGGGGCASACGACCACTGAGCCACATCCCCAACCCTATTTTGTATTTCATTTAGAGACAGGGTCTCACTGAGTTGCGTAGAGGGTCACTTTTGCTGAGGCTGGCTTTGAACTCATGATCCTCCTGTCTCAGCCTCCTGAACTGCTAGGATTACAGGTGTGCACCACTGTGCCCCTCTCCAGTTTTGATTATATTGCCTCTTAGTTCTAAGGCCCTGGTTTATGAAAGCTGATGAATACAAGGATCTTGTCATTCTTTTCTGCGTCTTCCGGTCACACAGGATTACATGAAACCATTTGTGATTGAGGGTTAGACTTTTTTTTTGGCGGGGGTGGGGTGGTATGAAAGATTAAACCCAGGGGCACTTTACCACTGAGCCACATCCCCAGCCCTTTATTATTTTTTCGTTTTGGGACAGGGTCTCACTGAATCTCTTACAGCTCACTAATTTGCTGAGGCTGGCTTTGAACTTGTGATCTTCCTACCTCAACCTCCAGAGTTGCTGGGATTACCAGGTGTGCACCACTGCAACTGGTGGTTAAACTGTTCTTAAAGGCCTTCATTAGCTCTTCCCTGCCCCTGGTAATTCATGTGTACAAAGCCAGAAGACTTTGCTTAGTTAACTTAAAAACCTATTAGATTCACCACAGTTCAGACTTTGCTTTCCTAATCTTGACATGAAATTGTCTCATCTGGAGCCAAGGAAGTTATGAGGATCATATTTTTGGGAGCAAAATGGGTTATACATGGTGTTTTAGTCATCTTTTGTGTTGCTGTGGCCAAAACACCCGACAACAGCTTAGAGGAAAAGTTTCTTTGGGGCTCCTAGTTTCAGTCTCAGTCCATAGACAGCTGCTGACACCACTGCCCTGGGCCCAAGGAGAGGAAGAACATCATGGGAGAAGAGTCAGTGGAGGAAAGCTGCTGGGGGTGAGGTAGAGAGGGAGATCACAGGCAAGACCCCCCAGTGGCCATCTCCTCCAGCCACACCCCATCTACCTACAGGTAACACCCAGTCCCTTCAAGCTAGGATGGACTGATTAGATCATAGCTTTCACAGTCCAAGCATCTCCAAACATTCCTGCTTTAACACTGGAATCTGCTGGGGTATCTCATATACAAACCCTAACACATGGTACGAGACTTTCTAGCTGTAAGTGTGCAAACTTACTAGTTTCACTGTGGGATCCAAATTCGTTTTGTGATTTTAAAATATTTTATTTATTTAATTTTAAAAATCTTTTTCACGGGCTGGGACTGTGGCTCGGTGGTAAAGTGCTTGCCTCGAATGTGTGAGGCACTAGGTGTGCTCTACCTCCAGCCCTTAATCTTTTTATTTTTTAATTTTTTAGTTGTAGTTGGACACAATACCTTTATTTTAATGTGGTGCTGAGGATCGAACCCAGGGCCTCTCATGCACTAGGCAAGTGTGTGGGAGGCCAACCTTATGGGTGACTGAGTTACACTCCCCAGCTGGGTGCTGAGGCCCTCAGTCACAGAAATGGGTGTGTATTCCTACAGCCCCATGGGTGAAGCTATGCTCACCTGTTCCTTTGTAATATAACCCCTTGCCCTGTTTAGGATAGAATCTTCCATGGAAGTGCCTTGTGTGTGTCCCCTCCTCTTACTGTGCCCTTGGGTGTGGCCTACCCAGGTGTC